ATCATAAATGCCCAACAAAGAGTGTGTAAAAACATAGATGAACTGATTTAATAATTGGAACTTTAACCCGATAATATAAATATACATAATTTCAGAAATTAGGTTGATATTTCAGAAAATGACGCTGCTACATGTAAAAATACCAGGATCACATGATAATGTTTGTGTAGAAAACAACATACCAATTCGTTATCTAAAAACCTCGTATAGCGAGACGTCCGTGATGATAAAAATAATCTAAATGTATCTTTCAAAGACGAGTGACATTTCTGGACGTTTAAAATTATTGAATATAATCTAGCTACTTACTAATAGCAAGTAGTAGAATGCTACTGAAAGGAACAAGCTGATCTCCAATGGAATTGTCGTTTTGAGGTAAGTTTGTCGTCAACGTATTACGAGCTGGTTATCTAAGAATCCCTTACTCAGCTTTATGTAAAAAAATACTTCAATAATGTACTCATTGAGATTATTCATTTTCCGTATGGCGTTGTCATTGAAATCATGAACCCATCTAGTCCTTCCATGTTTTCAGTGGTGTTCTAACTCAAAAACGTTCATCATTTCAATTAGATTAATTATTTGTTCTGATGCATCGTCCCATATCTTACACATATGATCATATGTACTGTAAGTCTGGATGAACAAAATACATGTGATCACTTATTTGGCTTTCACATATTCTAATTAACAGTTTAAGAAATTGGAAATTTATGTCAAAAATCAATAGTCTAACAATACAGTATCGCAGCAAGTAAACCTATGTTCAATGCAACTCATAAAAACATAATGTTTATGTACTCTGATAAGTCAAAAAGCAAACAAATTGAAAACTGACTACTCCTTATCACCATCTAGATGATAACTAGTAATATTGCCCTACAAAACATTCTCTTCTATAACACTCCCCTAATGGTTCTACCATTGATAATATATTATCCCATTTATGTCACTAATTCACAGTACGTAATCGGGCGGTCAGCTGCTCTTTCCATGATTTAATAGTAGTGACTCAGATTGTGAAGCTTGTTGACGCGAGTTCCAATACCACAGGAATCATTAGTCCCCTCTATATTGTAGGTACACCTCGCTAACAAGTACCAGCTAGTATAAACCTGATCCCATGGTTCCGTATCAACAATCATCAACACCGAGGCTAAAATAAACTAATCCCTACAAAACTATGAAAGTTGCTAATAAAACACCTTGGTATTGTGTCTCGTAAAAATTCCATTCAACTCATATATTAATACAATCATATATAAAGTGCTGCATTTCGCATTAAGAATAATATCTAGCATCTTTCCTAGTATGCTAACACATCTAAAAATTACACATGGCTTCCTCAAACAAAAAATGAAATTTTCACAAAAAAATATAGGTTTTTATTTAAAATTATAAGAGCAGTGACGATTTGTACATACAAAGATAAAGTGAATGCCTCAAATAGGTGAATAAGAATAAAACAATGATATAAATACAAAGTATATCAGAGCTCAACAAGAAAAAAATTGGGGACAATTTTACGCAGTCAAGTCATAAAAAAAAAATTTAAAGTGATACACATCATTACGAAAAAACGACAAGAGTAGTATTCAATACCATAAGAAGTCAGAAAACACTCCGAAGATTTAAAATAATAAAAACATGCGCGATTACTAATTCTTTAAATAAAGGATGCCTCAATCTGTGCAAATCTCAAAAAAAAAGCTAATCATTAACGAATTACTTAATCTTTGGCAGTAGCATAAAATATGCATAAAAAATAAATGAGCAGTGAAAGAATGGATAAGAAAAATAGATCACGAACAAACATATACATATAACACCATATAAAAAGTAAAAACGGCTTATACATAAACCCATTTATCGTTCACATATGTTTTCAAAGAAAGCTATTCAAAATGTCTCAATATAAGTATAAACAAATTTGTAATCAAAATAAATAGATTTTTTCAAAAATTAAATATGTGCCCAGTACCAAGAATTTTCAGTAATCTTTTCGTAAACATAGTGATTATATGCTACATTGAAGCGCATAACTTTCACAAAGGATTTCATTTCATGCTACAACTTTCAGTTAATCCGAGTTATTCAGCCGGCAAATTATGATCCATCAAGATGACATATTCAAAAACATTCTACCAAAGATATTTCTGTGTTAGAAATGAAAATATTAGTGAAAATTATGCTTCCATAAACATAATTCACGGATTTAAAAAAAGAGGAAAATGTCCAGACATACAAGTAGTATTAATTTAAATGAACACCGAAAAATCATTGGTCGAATTCGGGCCAACTAATAATAAATAATGCTACAATTAATCAATGAGATAATAACTAGAATTAATAGCGTTAAACAAGAATAAACAAAAGTGGAAACAGTCAAAGGATTCCATTCGAATTATTAATTTATATTTAACATGAACAGTTTTAATTGAGATAGACTTACAAATGGAAGAATAAAACTGAAAGTAATTTGATGACCAGAGAGAACAAAGAAGTCGTACAAACAATTTCTGGATGTAGAGGTCAGGTCCATTGAGGTGCACTCCCACCGACTCCACTATATTTGACAGTCGAGTTCCTCAATCAATAAGTCAATTAAATTGGGTTCGAAACATATTATGATTGCTACATTCATGTTGACTTAATGAACTGTGTTAAATAAAAGTCAAGGGAGACAGTTTCTTATTGTTCTCTTTCGTCATTCGCTCAAACGTGAAGCATGATATTCCAACAAATATGTTTATAGATGACACATGTACTCAATCTCCTTACTATACATGACTAGTTGGTCGAGCATTAAGAATGGTGAACTGTTCACTGAATCGAACCAGAGAACAAAGATCACTTCATTTCAGTTGAAAGTTTTCACAATTATCCAACTTGGAAACAACATGGTCGAAATCTCAGTATCATACACTAGTCTGTTTGTAAATATTCAATGTCACGGGAAGACATTGACGACACAACTCTCGAAGCCAAAGTATCTCAGCAATGTTGATTCTTTCTAATGTAAGACACTCATTACAGTTCATGCACAGAAACACCAACGAATAAAACAAGTAACTAAAGACAAAGCGACAACTTGATTTATCAACTTGGAATTATCAAGTAAGTGTGGTGAATAGTTGAGTAGTTAACACAAACCTACGTGAAATGTGCAATTACTTTCGAATAGATCTGTGGTGAAGCATCAAACTTCAAAAGCCAAACTGGTTAGATGTATTATGAACCACTCTATGATCAGTTGGAACAGTGAAAATATGCAGAAAATGAACTCAAGTCACAATTATGCTTATATAAATTTATAACACTATAACATATTGATCACTGGTTGATTAGTGTTAGTTAATTCATCGGTTGGTCATTGTTGGTGTGCAATGAAGAATTCTCATTTTCTACATCGGATTTCATTGTACGGTTAGTTTGTTTTCTGTAATCTCGTCTCAGTCACATGCAACAGCTCTCCTTTCCATGTCTCTCATATTTGATTGTTCAGTCACACATTTACAGTCTCAATATTGTTTTCATATTGTGATGCCTCTATTCTTCGTACTACATTTCGTCCACACATGATATTCATTATTCAGCTAAACATTCAATTTCACGATATGTTTACAAGGAATTCACATATTGATTATTCTAGCCTAAAACAGCATCAACAGCATTGTGGTCAATGTGAATTAACGCGTAGACTAAATAATGTGTTTCGTATGTGTCCACCCTCACAATCAATACCGCCAACACACTCATGCCAATTGAGTGTGTGACAAACACACATGAATTTCACCTTGTCCTACAATGCATCATTAGATAGACTGGATTGTTTCACCGATATTTTTACTATATATTGATCGTTTCCAATTGATTTGTATTTCTGTATGCAGTTTGTCATATTTCTGGTTGGACTTTTATTTCATGTGCTGAAATTGAACTTACAGTATACGAGAGGTCATTCTTGTCAATACTGTCCTGACGAAACAACACACAAATGTAAGTTGTCTGTTCATGTGTTTCATAGAATATCAATGTGCGTTATTTCCAATAACAAACTTCATCTCGTGTCAATATGGTGGTTAAGAGGTTTATTACACAGCCTTGTACACCAACACCACTCCAGATTCATATACTGTCCCTCTCAATGACAACACTTTTGCGTCAATGCAAAGTCCTTTCATCAGTAGTTTATATGGATAATTGAAGTTAAAGATTCTCCTACATCCTAATTAGTGGAGTCAACACATACATAGATTACTAGAAAGATTTCTCGATAATTGTCAAATTGAGATTGAACAGTAGTTGACAGAAAACGAAGGTGTGAATCAAATCTGTGTCTTCAAATTTAATGTTTCATCGAATTGTTGTTCGAGGAATAAACGCATCGGAATGCGTGGATATTCCGAAGTGATCAAAACCAATCGGACATGAGACACACACGTTAAAACAAGCATGAAAACCAGTGACTGAAATGATAAGTTTTGCACATTGAACGCTATACTCGGATCCTAAGTTATTCTCGTACATCCACGCAAGAACTACACAGCGATTTTAACACGAAAGAAAAGGCACAAAATAAGCGGGAAGCACTTCACTTCAAAGGTTCATTTATCTATAGTTATTATAGGGTTTTTATAGTATTTAAAATGTCTTGAGGTTTTCCTGAAAATACTAAAATACTACTAAACATAGTATCAGTGTATTAATCAGCCAATCAGAACATTTACATGCGACTTTTCGTTTACGTGATACTTCAAGCAAAACTTCTAATCAAACGCTGATTGGATAAAAGCCTTCTAAATGTTTATTGAGCTTGTCATGTTTATTGCAAGAAACTTTAAGAATCATCCTAACATAAATAAAGATAGCAGACACAAGTGAACAGACACAATTAAACAGACACAACCGACATTCCACATCACACACCAACAAGGTTTACATGACTGTCCACTTATCACTAACAACCTAACAACACTCAACCAATAGTAATTGAGTGCATGGAATATACGGTTGGTGGCAGAAAATTCTCAACGTGTCACCTGTCTGTCTCACACTCTCATTCAAAATCTTACTTTCGTTCAGTTCACAACCACATGACAGATTGCTCGATCATGATCAATACACCTCGAAAGTCAGCTTGTGCATCAAAACTTCCTCCTCCAACATCACAAACACCAACACCACCACCACCACCAACAACAACAACAACACAGTCGAACATGACCATGGTCACACGATACACAACTGAGGAGGCGAATGAGTTAGCCAAACTGGTATTGAGATATCGGGATATTTGGAAAGACAAGAAACAGTCATCCGCACTTGTCCAGAAACATTTGTGGATGCAATTCTCACAGTATCTACACTCGAAGGGATGGCCGAGAAGGAACTGGACTCAGCTGCGTCGAAAGGGTCAGAGTTTGCTGAGGAAATTCAATGACATGACAACCAACCAGTTGGAGGTGTCGAAAAGCAATCCCAATCCCCTTGAAAATCCCTCGAACCACACGCCACTCTCCAGTTCCAATGCAAACCCACACGTGAATGGACACATTGGTTCGGTAAGTTTGCCTTACCCGATGACGTGCTAATTGTTTCCATTGAATTCAGGTGACCGAGAACCAGTCGAGTGTGCATCGACCCAACTTGCCTACACTGACCCCGTCACCAGTGGTAAGCACCACCTCCAAACGTGCCACACCATCACTCAGTTCCCCTACAAACCACGTGCAACCGAATCCCCCAAACACAAGTGGTCCAAAAATCCTCAACGCATTCTCAACAGCTCACATATCTCAACAACTGGCCATTCCACATGATGTTGCAGTGCTGCAGCCAACCACCACCAACAACAACAACATGGTTGGTGAGGTGGCGATTAACCGAGTTGCCTTACTGACTCCTCTGTCATGTATCTCGTTCGGAGTGGCGAGAGCCCATACTGCATCCGAATCTCCTGTTCGAGAAGTGAATATGTCGAAGCCACCATCGGACCAACCGAGTCGAAATCCTGTGACTGCAACAATTGATTTATCAGTGTCGAGTGATGACGAGGAGAGCTGTCAAGAGTTGAGTGGAACGAGAGATCAGGTGAACACGAATCATGTGAATGATTTGGGTGAAACGTCCGAGGATAGTGTCACGTAAGTAGGACACCTCTTTTGAACTGACACTTTTCACCATATGTTATTCGTGTTGTCTGTTGTTTGACTGCCACCACTAGCATCACATATTGCTAACTGACCGACTGCTCCACACTGCTTGTTATATGAACATGAGAATGTGCACTTGTGTTTGTGAGTTGTGCATATGGTGTAGTACATTTGGTGATTATGATATATGTGACGACATTTATGTATATATAAACATGCATATAATCACATCTATCCTACATTTGACTCGTGATAATAATCAGATGTTCAAACTGTGACTGGTTTTTGTAGATCGGAATGTGAGGGAACCCCATTGTCAGAGACGTTGATTCACAAGCGAATAAAATGTCTAGATCTGAAGATTGAAATTCTGCAGATGAAGAAACAATATTGGTCGGAGAAACTGAAATTATCATCGAAAAGCTGAATGTTTGGTGAGAGGCGATCCATGCATGAACTACCATTGTGATTGTCATCAATTCTATTCATGTGAATAGTGCACATTTGTAAATTGAATTTATATCTATGTATGTATACATATTGTGACTGACCTATCTATCAATGAATGGACAAAAATTGTTCTTCATTTTCATCATTATTGTGTATTCGTGTGGTGTGTGTGTGAAGTTGTTTGTCTGTTAGTTCTTTTGTTTTGAATTGATTTGAAGTGGAGTGTTGTGCAATACTGGTTTGTTTCAAATGTTGAGTGGTTGACTACTCTGTTGCATACTGTACATAATTAAATTGAAATGTTGGTTTTGTAACAATCCCATTTCTTTTTGTCTTTGAATTAATGACGGTGATCGACAATTGGTTATGTGGATGACGGATGATAGTTGTCTTAGAATACACATATATTAGACGTTTGTCAATTTTGTTTATTATCATGATGAATTGGTTTATATTGATAGATATTTATTCTAGTGATTTCTGTGTAATTAACTACTTGATATTTCATTGATGATGCATAACATGTTCGGTATGTTCGGTAATCGACATATGTGTATAATTGATGTCAACTTGAAATTGTTGATGATCGGAAGTGAAGGAGATTGTTGAGAATGAATGGTCTCATTTGGATGATGAAGAGGTTAATTATAAGAACAAGAATAACAACGATGATAATAACAATATCATTTATAATTATAATAATGCTGTTGATGATCGTTAATAATAAATATACTTTTGTTATATCCCAATATGTAGAATAATTGTATTTCTGACTTTTCGTGATGTTTTGCAAGCCCCTTCTGTAGGGTATATTGTAGGGCCAGTGAAATGTCACTGAATCCTAGCCAAATCATCCGGCAGTTGGGTCACTAAATATCGAAAAGTTCATCGGCCATCGTCAAGCTCATGGACAATCAACGTGCATCAGTTAGTCATACTCCATGGACTGGCACATGTGGCAGTGGTTCTGCTTTCGCTTGTATCTTCTTTAACTAATATATTCTTGTAATAACTTCCGTTGTGTTGTACAGTCTTCAGAGCATCCATGATCCCATGATGCGTCGATGAGGCAATCCACGTAGGGTGCTGATCGCGAGGTGTCACTTCGAAGTTAGCTGGTACGTCACACCGTTCCTGTCTAACTCGAGTAGGCCTCATATCATTCGACATAGATCATCAACGTTGATGGTCTACAATATAAATTACCGACATTATATTAACACAAGTTTAGCTAATACAATGGTAACACAGACACAGTTGATCCAAAGTTGTGAACTGGTCGAAGAAGAACTGATTCAACTGATAAATATATACCATCTTATGCACATTTATTTCTTAGAGGGTTGTGTACATTTGTGATTGGTAGGATCTACTAAATCGGTGTTGACCATTTCATGGTAAATGAGATTACTCATTAACATTATACATTCAATAATAAACTATTGTACAATATTTAGTACTAAACACATGGACCAATAACCTTGATTAAATAGTTTCCTGAAAGGTCCAGTGTAATTCGGTATCATCGTCAAAAGAATATTCATATAATTTGTGAAAGATCAGATTTCGTAACATACACAGGAATATGAACTGACCAATATTTCTCGGCTGTCATGAGTGAATTTAAATGCAGGTAATTATGGTCATAATTACTTGTTCACAAACGTCTCGTTCAATCATATTCATTCATGGGAACATGACAACTTGCACTCCGACTACTCAGTCCATTAATTTGCATAATAATATAGAACATTCTCTATCTTCTTTCTAGTGGTTGAATCCAATGACAAAGTGAGAAATACAAGAACATCTTAACAAGTACCAAACAATGATCACTCCGATAGGAAAAATAACTACGGAGGAAAGAAACCCAGAACACGGTAGTAGTAGTAGTAGTAATAATAATAATGATCATAAATTGTACGCTCTACCATAAAAGCATATTGTGTACTTACTGTCTTCCACTTTATCATCGCAGATCATAAGCAGGAGATTTTGAGTGACTAGGAAACTATCATTAAATCTGTGTAGAAGAGTACAAGTACAATACATATCACAAATCAAGAATAATGAAGAAATATTGAAGTGTCTAAGAACTATTAATCAAAACCAATTAATCTTTACTAACGAATTCTAAATAATTCGGAAATGTGTAAATCTATTCTCAGATCTAAACAAATATCATTTAACTGCATTAATATACAGTAATTCTCCACAAATTTTCCCCTTTAATAATTTCTTGTCACTGCTGTCCCACATGTTTAAGCAATCTGTGCTAAAATTGATGTGGAAGAAGTTGGGAGACAAGAAATTGTTTGAAATCATTTTTGATTAATTGATTAATTGATTCAGTAATCTGCTAACGTAATCATCACAGGACTATTTGGTCTCTGTTAGTAATATTCAAATCTTACTAGTAACAGTAAAAACGAGTACATCTTTTCGAATTCAAATTTCCTCACAACCTTTGCCATCTTCTGATTTGTTGATGCTCTTACTATTTACTAATTTTCAGTACAATTCAAAGTTGAGCTTTCTTCACAGTATATACTGAGTCATAATTTTTCAAGTTATCTTGTTCGGATTCCAGGTTTGTTCCACACTTCGTTTTCTCTCTATACTAGTGGCTAATTATTGAAGTGTTTTGTCTCAATTGCCATTAACGTATCCACAATAGAACTGTTCGTATTGGAATTACTCTATCGTTATTCGATTTGCATGTACAGTAGACCAACAAGAAACATCAATACCGTAATCCGTTTCTATAAATACATAACACAATCTGGTGTCAACTAAGATCAATGGACAAGTGTAATGAATAAATGATAAATTGCACAAAGTTGAGAAATGGTTAGATTGGAGTTCATGTCAACTTTCTGTTATGAATGGGTTCAGTGTAGCGCACCACAACATGCTGGATGATAAACACAAGTATGGCAAAGAGTGAGTGTACCATTTCTACACGTGTCCATCTACAAATATCCCAACATATCAACTGCAAAATACAGTAAAGTTAAATCACAGTAATCACAGTGACTGGGAAATAGGCATTCGAAAAATGAAAGTTCATCAGATCTCAATTCATGAAATACATAGTCCTAGCATCAGATCACTCATAGGAAAACAAGAACGATCTCCAGCTACTACTACGTCCAAACATGCATCACAATGGTGGTCAGACATCAATTCAGGAATCTCGACTCGATTGTTGATGAACTGAGAGTTTGATTTCACAATTATACAAATCATCAAACATTGAGTGAAGTTATTATTATTATTATTATTATTATTATTATTATTGTTATTGTTATTACCAATGTTACTATTAATTTCGTCTAATTATGCATCCCATTGACAGAGTGAATACGATGTGAATGAGGGTTGTCAATTTCATGATATTCATATTCAGAACTGCAACCAATCAGTGTCTGTTGTCATTTGTGGATCACAAGCGGATTGCCTACAAATAACACTCAGTAACAAGTTATACCATATTGATTGTGTGGTTGACACTGGAATGAAGGACACCCATTCAGTTTTTTGTGGTAATTATTACCTGGATTTAACTCCACTCCACTGTTGAGAATCCCCATGAGATTCACACTCAATATCCATCGTTTCAAAAGTCTAACCAATTGTTCATTGGGTCACTGAATACACAGATTCAACAATTTATTCAACGGCTATACAAACCAACTACACGGAATCACAAACACTGTCTAGTACCCTCATACACTTTGAACAAGTTAGTGAGTATTCAAACTCAATGGATCAGTCGATAGCACATTACGTGTTCGGAACGAATGTTACCAGGTTCAAGTCTCACTGCGAACATCAACATACTTGGATTCAGATTCATCCAGATGACAAATCCTGGATTGAGTGTAAACAGTCATTCTGAATTCCACTACCAGCCACATATCAAATACACTCAAAGTATATATGACATGCTTGTGAAATTCAATTTCTATTCTCGCATCACTTTCCGATACATTCAAAATTGTATATACTATGTAATGTAACCTTGCGCTTTTCTCCACATTTGTACATTTTTGCTGAACTTGTTTTCTCATCACTGTTTCCTGTCAAACAAAATTTCTTTTCCTTATTATTATTATTATTATTATTATTATTATTATTATTATTATTATTATTATTATCATTGTTGTTGTTACTAAGTGTGAGTGCGATGGAGGCACAAAACTTCATTGATTTATCTTATAAACCGTATCAGAGATAATGTGTCTTTGCACATTTACTCAACTGTCTATTATTTTCGTCAATCGATATGTAGAAATGAATCTTTCTTACAAGTAGACAGTGAAACTAACCAAATGAATAAAACATGCTTCTCCAACTGACTATAATTCACAGTGTAAAAGAGTATTTGTTTTCCCAGTTCAATCTTTCTTGAACATTAATTGTAAAATGAAAAATGAAAACGTGTTATGACCTGTTGGCTTAATTTAAAAATTAACTTGTCATCTAATGTATTCATTTAATGTTATAATTGGTTTTAGTAAATTTACCTTTGTGTCACAAAACATATTCTATTGTAGTGGAAAATCATTCCTCAAAATACATAGTTTTGTAAGCATTCGATACCGAATGTTTACTGTCATGAGTTATGGGTGCTCCCTCACGATGAGCATCATGTCACAACGAAACAACTATCCAGTGCTCTCCGAACTTATATCAACAAAATTTTTGGCATTTCGTTTCACTGCGATCTGAAGGGGGAAAGATGGAGAGAACAGAGGTGAAACATTTCAAGGGTTAAATTAGTTTTGCAAAGTAAGATTATTCTTATCAATCTCATTCGACGAAACCATCCAGTTGAATTGGTATACACTGTAATTTGAAACAAACAGGAAAGAAGTTAAGATTAGAAAACACCACGAATGTTGTTTCATCTGTTGCTTAACCAAACTGCACGGAGTGAAAATTAATCTGAGTCATCCGATTATTAGAAATTCACTTTTATATATGGACAATAGGTTCGCAAATTCGTTGACACATCAATGAATAAACAGTACACATTCAAAGTTATTTCCCAAAACGTTTATTATTATTTCAAACAATCAGTGATAATCTCACTTTGAACAAAAACTCTATGTACTGTTAGTCATTCTCATACACTGAAATCAATTGCATCAATTTTCGTAGTGTTTATGTCTGACCTACTCGTCTGATTACAATATATGGTGTTTGTGTTCAGTTCAATGTCTATTTTGTCATTTCCAGTCAGATTACGTTACTTTGTTTGTTCGTTCATTTTTAGTACGAAAAGTGATTCATTACAATTTCGGATGCTTTCCTTCGAGAAGAGAATCCATGACATTAAATACTGCAACTCCATATGATCCGCTTCACTTTGATCAATTAGGAATTTCAGGGTGCTTAACACGGTCATCATCTCCTACCGTTCCTCTTCATTTATTTACATCATCATTGATTATCAAATAAACCATGCTTCTGTTGGTGTAACCAGTGATTCTAGAAAATAGACAAATAAATAAGCCGATGTTTGTGTGTGTGAACTGACTGAATATAATTATTTGTTTTTCATCTGACCATCTTCAATAAATCTCCACATCACATCTCATTGATTCTGTCAAAACACACACACATTCCCAACTAAACTCCTAGATGAAGCAATACACGAACTCTCACAGGGATCATTGATTGATTGCGTTTAAAATTGTCTTACACCAGTGTGGAGGATGGAATGGAAATGTGTAGTAGTGACACAGGAAATTTGTTGAAATTTTTATGATAGATAGAAACACATGATTGATGAGGGGAAGACTGAGGAACAGAATATAATATTAATATCACTGTAAACTATGTTTGAAAACAACACATTAGAAACAATTGACCAAAGTGTAACTACCATGTTCATAACTTGCAAATCGAATAATGAGACTTCAGGATGAGACATCACTCGAATCATGTAACAATCGGACGATTCCACACATAGATCGGATGTTGAAGTTTCGTAGTAGTTCATCGAAGTGCTTAACAAGTCACGTACTACATATAAGAGTTGTATGATAAGTATATACGATAGCATCGCCATTACCTTGACCATATAAGCACATCAATGTGTAACACAAGATAAGATATTTTACTGAAATTATTGCAAATCCAAACCAATCGAGAAATACCCGTGCATAATTTGCAAAATTATCACAATAAGTAAATATCAAACTTCTACTGACCAAAATGTTCATCTGAATAGAATTACAAACAAATGTTCTCCTTCTGTAGAGTATCACATGTGTATACCGTATTGAAACCATAATCAAAAACGAAAATACATTTTCGATCAGTCCACAAATTTCTAACAGTTACAAATGAATTAACCGCAAGACACTTTCTACGACAAATCTACTCACACAAAAGTTTACCAAATTCAATTTGACAATCGAGAATCCTCTCACCAAACTATTCACTCAGAAAGATATGATAATTTATATCAAACATATATTACTCCAGGACACGGTTTACTAAATATTATCCAAAATGTTTCAACTAACTACATGTGGCAGACAGAATAAACAAATGATTAAACAACTCAAGGAAATATTGAGAGAAACAAGTGTCACATCGGTATAGACGACCGATCAAATGATGTTCGACAGGTCACATATAAAATTATCAAGTTCAGTAATTAAACAAGATTTGAATTCGATTGTTCAATAGTGGTGGAGAATTTCTGTTGGACATTGGTTAACTACACCTAACAGTCATCAACTATCTCCTTCTGAACACATCCAAACAACTGTTGTCTCTAAACAGATGACAACCCAACTAACGCTTAAAGTTTGTATGGTCTCTTACTACAACCTATAGATGAAACGCATGATCATGTGTTGAAAGAGTCAATTTGTCAGAGTACTAACAAACAATCTGTGCTGGTAATACATAAATAGACTAAAGCTTACAGAAATGGGTTTGATGGATTCATGAGAAATTACTCTAATTAGTTATCCATCTTATTTGCTGTAAATTCATTCGTTAAACATCTATCACAGTTGATCCACAACTGTCGAACACCAACCAGTTTCATCATCATTATTTCTCATTCATAAATAATCCCACCATCGATTAACACTTTGTTAAATCAACGATTGACTAATCTTTAATGACTCATCCGTTGAATGTCTTAATTTCCACTCTCAATTGCATTTCAATCAAATATTCACATATTCATGTAAACTACCGACACACGCACCACACTCCCACTATTTTACCGCACTATTACACATTTTACAACACAAAAGTATGAACAACACACAATGACGATATACACTCAAACCAATATGACTAAGAACTAGTTTATATAGTAAAGACGTGACGACTCCTAAACATTCAATCACTAGCAGCAAACATTCGACATGTGCACCTCAATTCAACTGATTGATTACTTGACGATAGTAACAAAATTGTCGACTCGAACGAGAAAATATCGTCCAATTGTTCACATATTCAAAGACAATTCTAACAAGCCGTTCATTATCTCATATTGTACAAAGTAACACAGGCAACTGTACAAATCTCCACACACACGTTGTACACGAAATAAAACACAATCATCAGTCAATTATTCTATTATATTGTAATCTACATAATCCTCATAATTCTTCAACCGTTCTCTACTACATACTTAAAATTGTCAGAACAGGCAATGAAAGTTTACACAATTTCAGTCTGAACAATTCTATTTACAAATGAGTTAACAGGAAACAGAACAAACATATTCAAAAACAATGATTATTATTATTAGTGTTATTATTAACCTCTTCACCATCCCAATGAGAACATTCATTCTCAACAATCTCCTTCACTTCCGATCATCAACAATTTCAAGTTGACATCAATTATACACATATGTCGATTACCGAACATACCGAACATGTTATGCATCATCAATGAAATATCAAATAGTTAATTACACAGAAATCACTAGAATAAATATCTATCAATATAAACCAATTCATCATGATAATAAACAAAATTGACAAACGTCTAATATATGTGTATTCTAAGACAACTATCATCCGTCATCCACATAACCAATTGTCGATCACCGTCATTAATTCAAAGACAAAAAGAAATGGGATTGTTACAAAACCAACATTTCAATTTAATTATGTACAGTATGCAACAGAGTAGTCAACCACTCAACATTTGAAACAAACCAGTATTGCACAACACTCCACTTCAAATCAATTCAAAACAAAAGAACTAACAGACAAACAACTTCACACACACACCACACGAATACACAATAATGATGAAAATGAAGAACAATTTTTGTCCATTCATTGATAGATAGGTCAGTCACAATATGTATACATACATAGATATAAATTCAATTTACAAATGTGCACTATTCACATGAATAGAATTGATGACAATCACAATGGTAGTTCATGCATGGATCGCCTCTCACCAAACATTCAGCTTTTCGTTGATAATTTCAGTTTCTCCGACCAATATTGTTTCTTCATCTGCAGAATTTCAATCTTCAGATCTAGACATTTTATTCGCTTGTGAATCAACGTCTCTGACAATGGGGTTCCCTCACATTCCGATCTACAAAAACCAGTCACAGTTTGAACATCTGATTATTATCACGAGTCAAATGTAGGATAGATGTGATTATATGCATGTTTATATATACATAAATGTCGTCACATATATCATAATCACCAAATGTACTACACCATATGCACAACTCACAAACACAAGTAGATAAGAATTTTCACTAAGCATGCACACACACTCACACACCCTCATATTAACGACAATAATCAAGCTGTTCAGTGACGTAGAAATTGGAACGAAGACACTTCAGTGAGATGGACCACCATTGCACACAAGCGAACGGTGTTTGATGTGTGCACATATGATTGGTTATACTGATTATTTGTCTGTCTACTAATTTATCTATCTATTTATCTCTCTGTCGCATTGGCATCATTACCGAGGTTATGTTATTTATAATATATTATTGAACTATTATATATTATATATAAAATGTGTAAAACATAATTTTGATCTAGTGATTTCTTCTCTCGAGAAGTTGCATACACTGAGTTACGAAACATCAGAAAATCTAATTTTCTACTCATTCCGATATTACAAATATATTATTTTATTTATGTCTATCTCGTGAGCAATATGTGGTGCTATTAGTCAGAGTCAAACAACAAACAACATGAATAACATAAGGTGAAAAGTGTCAGTTCAAAAGAGGTGTCCTACTTACGTGACACTATCCTCGGACGTTTCACCCAAATCATTCACATGATTCGTGTTCACCTGATCTCTCGTTCCACTCAACTCTTGACAGCTCTCCTCGTCATCACTCGACACTGATAAATCAATTGTTGCAGTCACAGGATTTCGACTCGGTTGGTCCGATGGTGGCTTCGACATATTCACTTCTCGAACAGGAGATTCGGATGCAGTATGGGCTCTCGCCACTCCGAACGAGATACATGACAGAGGAGTCAGTAAGGCAACTCGGTTAATCGCCACCTCACCAACCATGTTGTTGTTGTTGGTGGTGGTTGGCTGCAGCACTGCAACATCATGTGGAATGGCCAGTTGTTGAGATATGTGAGCTGTTGAGAATGCGTTGAGGATTTTTGGACCACTTGTGTTTGGGGGATTCGGTTGCACGTGGTTTGTAGGGGAACTGAGTGATGGTGTGGCACGTTTGGAGGTGGTGCTTACCACTGGTGACGGGGTCAGTGTAGGCAAGTTGGGTCGATGCACACTCGACTGGTTCTCGGTCACCTGAATTCAATGGAAACAATTAGCACGTCATCGGGTAAGGCAAACTTACCGAACCAATGTGTCCATTCACGTGTGGGTTTGCATTGGAACTGGAAAGTGGCGTGTGGTTCGAGGGATTTTCAAGGGGATTGGGATTGCTTTTCGACACCTCCAACTGGTTGGTTGTCATGTCATTGAATTTCCTCAGCAAACTCTGACCCTTTCGACGCAGCTGAGTCCAGTTCCTTCTCGGCCATCCCTTCGAGTGTAGATACTGTGAGAATTGCATCCACAAATGTTTCTGGACAAGTGCGGATGACTGTTTCTTGTCTTTCCAAATATCCCGATATCTCAATACCAGTTTGGCTAACTCATTCGCCTCCTCAGTTGTGTATCGTGTGACCATGGTCATGTTCGACTGTGTTGTTGTTGTTGTTGTTGGTGGTGGTGGTGTTGGTGTTTGTGATGTTGGAGGAGGAAGTTTTGATGCACAAGCTGACTTTCGAGGTGTATTGATCATGATCGAGCAATCTGTCATGTGGTTGTGAACTGAACGAAAGTAAGATTTTGAATGAGAGTGTGAGACAGACAGGTGACACGTTGAGAATTTTCTGCCACCAACCGTATATTCCATGCACTCAATTACTATTGGTTGAGTGTTGTTAGGTTGTTAGTGATAAGTGGACAGTCATGTAAACCTTGTTGGTGTGTGATGTGGAATGTCGGTTGTGTCTGTTTAATTGTGTCTGTTCGCTTGTGTCTGCTATCTCTATTTGGTCACTGGTTTTCATGCTTGTTTTACCGTGTGTGTCTCATGTCCGATTGGTTTTGATCACTTCGGAATATCCACGCATTCCGATGCGTTTATTACTTGAACAACATTGCGATGAAACATTAAATTTGAAGACACATATTTGATTCACACCTCAGTTTTCTGTCAGCTACTGATCATTTTTCAATCTCAATTTGACAATTATCGAGAAATCTTTCTAGTAATCTATGTATGTGTAGACTCCACTAATTAGAATGTAGCAGAAACGTCTAGTTCGATTACCCATATAAACTACTGATGAATGGACATTACATTGACGCAAACGTTTAGTCACTGATTTAGACAGTATGTGGATCTGGAGTGGTAGTAGTAGTAGTAGTAGTAGTAGTAGTGTACAAAGCTGTGCATTTTACCTCCTAACGACCATATTGAAACGAGGTGAAGTTTGTTATTGGAAATAACGCACATTGATATTCTATGAAACACATGAACAGACAACTTACATTTGTGTGTTGTTTCGTCAGGACAGTATTGACAAGAATGACCTCTCGTATACTGTAAGTTCAATTTCAGCACATGAAATAAAAGTCCAACCAGAAATATGACAAACTGCATACAGAAATACAAATCAATTGGAAACGATCAATAAATAGTAAAAATATCGGTGAAACAATCCAGTCTATCTAATGATGCATTGTAGGACAAAATGAAATTCACGTGTGTTTGTCACACACTCAATTGGCATGAGTGTGTTGGCGGTATTGATTGTGAGGGTGGACACATACGAAACACATTATTTAGTCTACGCGTTAATTCACATTGACCACAATGCTGTTGATGCTGTTTTAGGCTAGAATAATCAATATGTGAATTCCTTGTAAACATATCGTGAAATTGAATGTTTAGCTGAATAATGAATATCATGTGTGGACGAAATGTAGTACGAAGAATAGAGGCATCACAATATGAAAACAATATTGAGACTGTAAATGTGTGACTGAACAATCAAATATGAAAGACATGGAAAGGAGAGCTGTTGCATGTGACTGAGACGAGATTACAGAAAACAAACTAACCGTACAATGAAATCCGATGTAGAAAATGAGAATTCTTCATTGCACACCAACAATGACCAACCGATGAATTAACTAACACTAATCAACCAGTGATCAATATGTTATAGTGTTATAAATTTATATAAGCATAATTGTGACTTGAGTTCATTTTCTGCATATTTTCACTGTTCCAACTGATCATAGTGTGGTTCATTGACTTTTAAAGTTTGGTGTGCGTTGTTCGTGAATGTGTATTTCAACCTTATATATTTGATGTGTGGACATGAATTTCTTGAATACACTCTAAGTCTTTGTTTGTTTATGTTCAGAGTAATACATTTATTTGTTTTTTCTTTAACTAACAGCCTTCAGTACCTTATTACTCACGAACCCTCAAAGTTAATCCAGTGTTACCAGTACAATTATATTATGTTATATATTACTTTATTCATGTACAAATGTTATGATTTTGATGTTGGTTTGTTCTCTGAGCTGGGTGGTTTGGTCGTGGAGCTTTCATCGTCCTTCTGAACGACATCATCAGCACAAACTTCGGGTAGAAGCTACAAATCTTCTCCACCATCACAAATGTTATGAGTTGAGTTTCCTAATTATCTTCTTAGTTTGTTTAATTTGTTTTTCCTGATATAAACCTCAAGAAAATGAATAATTTTCATTTTACATTAACCAAATATATTCTCAGTTGCTAAGCTTCGATCAAACATTCTTCAATCACATACAATATATTTTTCATTATCCAATCTTTTTATTCTGTAATTACATTGACAACTAATCAACTTCTTACAAACAAACAATAAATGTGAACAATCATTAATCTCTCTATATACATACATCACATAGATATAATTTGAAAGAGGGATGAAAATGAGTGAATAAGATTGACAAGTTTTAAATATTATTTTCTTTTAATCACCAAGACACAATGTGACATGAACTACTTCAACAACAAACTTGTGCGATTTGGTATGTGTCCACTCTCTTAATCAATACTTTGAAACACTCATACCAATTGAGTGTATGACAAACACATTGTGGATTTAACCTTATCTTACAATTCATCATTAGATAGATGAGATTATTAAATCGATCAAATTAGTGACGTAATAATTTCAAAAAATGTCTTTTCGCCAAAATAACAATGAAAAGGTATGTGGTTAAATTTAACAATAATTAGTGAAAAATAATTCTTACTAAATCTCGTAGACTATAGTGTTACACGAAGAGGGAGTATATCATAAGTGTCATACTTATGTAAAATGGAATACATCAATATTGTAAAGACGTGGACAAAAATGAAAGTGATAGTATGTGATTATAAGTAAATTAACAAGCGTACAAAAAAATTAACATTCATTTACGTCGTGACTGCCTGGACGATGAAATGACACGTTCTTATGAGAGACTTGAAGTACAGTGAAGACAGAGTAATCAATCGTTTGTGGATATGACAGTGGAATAAGTCATTAAAATAAGTAGAGTAGAATATAACAGAGATTGTACCGATGAAATATAATGATAAAGAACATTGAAATATGAACGTGTTCTGATGAGCCACAGTAGAGTTAGTAGCGTCTATTAACAGTTAGTGGGATTACATTTACATACAAAGAGTTTTGTGGAATAAAAATAATGCAACAGTAAAATGAAAACTGCATTGATGGATGATATTCGTTGCTTTACTGCAATTGATAATAACAATAATAATGTACGAATTCACTTAGTATTGTTTGTTTGGATCTTCCCATCGATGTGTTTAGGACTGCAACTGGTCAGTCTCTAATTGGCATATGTTCGAGTCCCAGAGTGAACATCAACTCTGAGATGCAGGTACATCCAGCTGACGAGTCCCAAATAGGACGAAACGCGCGTCCTGGATTCCACTGCTAGCCACTATCCATCTCTGCTTACAATAATAATGTACGTTGTGTACGTTGTTGTTTGCGTCATAACCAGATGTATGGAGTCATCGCTGTATATGTATTAGTAAAATGGCTAGACAAACAAAATAATGACTATGGAAACGCAGAGTCGCATGCTGTTCGTAAAATTTCAATTTTGGACGAAAGCAGAGAAAATCGCATTCTAATTGGTTTGTCCCTATACAACTTTCACTGCGTTAGTTCTTGTCAAATTATATTTTAAAATCCTACCACTTTGATTTTACTGACCTTGGTTGAGTCATAACCTTGTTTAATGTATAAACAAATTAATCGATAGGACTTTAGCACAGCTATATCTCACCTCTTATTTATTTTATGTGTCTGTTGTTTAGTTCACCATGTGTTTGTTTTTCTAACTGATTAAGGTTATTTACAATGGGTGTTGTCATTGTGGTTTATTTAAAGTATATCATGTGATCTCAATCTATAACGAGACTACAGAATAATCAATAACGGTTTGTAGACAAGTCAGACTTTTATGTCAGACATCGACAAAAGAATTAGTCATCTTTTCACAACTCAGACACATGTGTTCAATCAATAGTTTTTTCAAGGTCATTGTGATGACAGTTAGTTGATAAAACTGAATTATTTTGTTGCCCAAATATCACTCAGTTAAGCCTACTTTGTATTAGATACTGTACAAACAAATATTTAGGTTAGTCCCTGAATCGTTCAGTCATTATAGTTGGACATTTCATTTAGAACACATAGAGCAATGTACACACAATACCGAGTTGTATGTATTAATTTCTTTTGAAAATACTTGCAGTAGAGTAATCGTCCATGGGAAATTTCAAAAGACAAATACCGGTATGATTTAGGGGTCGTGTGACTGATTACATTGAAATTAAATAATTGAAGCTTACTAGCTTGTGAACAAACTATGTCATCTGATACATCCACTCTCAAATTGTGCTTCTTAAGGATTTTTCAAATTAAAACTAGTAGTTATGTGCATAAATGGTTTTCTGTTTTCATATTGTTGATATTAAGGACTGCATTTAATGATTAGATGGATTTCCTAGAGTTGACGTTCGAGGTGATAGATACTGGGCTTGGATATCAACCCTGATAGTAGTTCTGATCTGGTAACGAGTTAGAAATTAACAGGGATGCAAACCCGGAATTCTACTGTATGACACCATCTCAAAATTTCCATAAGTCCGGAACATAAAACACAGGTTACTGTTTCTTTCAGTTTGGTAAGAAACGAGACGAAATTGAAGGTAGTGCTGATTACTTGCACCAGTCAACACAATTTCCACAACCTTAGTTAGTTTCATACTAGAAATTGTCTGCAGACCACAAGATGCTGTTTAAATAGACGACTAACATTTGTTAGGAAGAGTACAAAGGATAGCTACATGTGCAATTCAGGAAATGTTTGGCTTAAGAAGCTAAATCTTTTCACACTATATTAACGTAGATTAAGATGTAACTTAATTATAATGTATGAGATACTAAAAAATGATTTTGGACCTAATACATCCTCCCTTTTTCGAACGACTAGTTCAAGACAACTTAGAGGACATAGCAGATAGGTTTAAAAGCCAAAAAAAACGAACTTTCAAGAGTACATCGGTATTTCTACCGAGTTATCAGCAATTGACTCTCTCAGGAAAAGACTAGGCACACGCAAAGCATACCAGAAAAGGACTGACACAGACCTTCAGCCTTCTGTTCCTAAAACACAAATTTGAATTTGAATCAAGATCCAGCTATAGAATAACTTATCTTGAAACTGAACAATTAACACAAGCGCCTATTGGTCATTAGGGATTATTACATTTCCTGCTTAATTTGACATACAGACTATAACATTAAAATCTGATCAATCTATAAAACATGGTTTGTAAGGACCAGTACTTCACAATTTATTACATTTTACAAATTCGTTCGATTTTTACACTTTAAATCATGTAACAGAATGAATAAGGAATACTTTGTTTTTCATAAGAAAAAGATTCATTTTCAAAAGATCGCGAATTATATTCGTTAAGACGAGATAAAAAGTTGCGACCACATTTTTAATTCAGTGTGATTCATGTTCAGCATAAAATTCTTTCGATTAACTTGGGGTGGCATTCTTTCAGCATAATATACAGCTTTCAGTTTGCATGAATTCAGTGTAAAATCTATTTTGTATTTTCAACACATTTATGCATGATCAAATGCAACACGGAGAACACCAACCCAATCACACTTGATGACGAAACTCTGGAAGAGGTGGAAACATTCAAGTACCTGGGGAGCATCGTTGATAAACAAGGAGGATCGGATGCAGATGTAAAGGAGAGGATTGGCAAAACAAGGGCAGCATTCCTACAATTGCAGAACATATGGAACTCAAAACAACTCTCAACCAATTTAAAGGTCAGAATCTTTAATACGAACGTCAAGACAGTCCTACTGTATGGAGCTGAGACGTGGAGAACTACTACGACCATCGTCAAGAAGGTACAAATATTTATCAACAGTTGTCTACGCAAAATACTCAACATCCATTGGCCGGATACTATCAGCAACAGCGTTTTATGGGAGAGGACAAACCAGCTTCCAGCTGAAGAGGAAATTAGGAAAAGGCATTGGAAGTGGATCGGAAATACATTAAGGAAATCACCAATGTGCATTACAAGGCAATCCCTTACTTGGAATTCGGAAGGGAAGCGGAAAAGCGGAAGGCCAAAGACCACACTACGCCGGGAAATAGAAGCAGATATGAAAAGGATGAATAGCAACTGGAAAGAACTGGAAAGGAATGCTCAGGACAGAGTTGGATGGAGAATGCTGGTGAGCGGCCTATGCTCTTCCACGAGGGGTAACAGGCGTAAGTAAGTAAGTATTTATGCATGATACTCGTTGACTAATCACTAAATGTCAGTCAAATTGATCGATAAATGAGTGGATACGGTTAGAGTGGCTGTCGTATTTTTCGAAGGGAGTACTAAAATCTTCATCTGTCTACAGTTCTGTTTTCTTCTTTCTACTGTGTGGAAACTCAGTGTTTTCCTTGTTCGAGTACCATCAGTTTCCGCACATAAATGAAATTAACCGGTGTGTTGAACATATTGGTTTGTTTTGTCCGAACACGTAACCGGAAGTAACCTTAGAAGAGCTAGAGTAGGTTATAAAACTGTTAGTACTCAGTAATAATACCATAATTGAAAAATGATAAAACAGTTATTTTGGACATAAAACTAGAAATAGTAGACTTTAGACTGTGCTGAATAAATTCTGTGCACAAACAAAACTAACTTTTATAAATTAACAAGACAAAGATGCACGGATACAAAAAGATAACAGGCTTGAGAACTGATACAATTAAGTTGGCCTAAACTTCTATTTACTTTGTACGCAAAATAAACTAGTATATGTATATTGGTTAGTTATCTATGGAAATTTTCACTTAACTAGATTGCCATACAAGGGATAGTTTCAATATCATTGAATTCTCACAGTATCTATTTTCTAATATTAAATCTGTGCCCAGTACCAAGAATTTTCAGTAATCTTTTCGTAAACATAGTGATTATATGCTACATTGAAGCGCATAACTTTCACAAAGGATTTCATTTCATGCTACAACTTTCAGTTAATCCGAGTTATTCAGCCGGCAAATTATGATCCATCAAGATGACATATTCAAAAACATTCTACCAAAGATATTTCTGTGTTAGAAATGAAAATATTAGTGAAAATTATGCTTCCATAAACATAATTCACGGATTTAAAAAAAGAGGAAAATGTCCAGACATACAAGTAGTATTAATTTAAATGAACACCGAAAAATCATTGGTCGAATTCGGGCCAACTAATAATAAATAATGCTACAATTAATCAATGAGATAATAACTAGAATTAATAGCGTTAAACAAGAATAAACAAAAGTGGAAACAGTCAAAGGATTCCATTCGAATTATTAATTTATATTTAACATGAACAGTTTTAATTGAGATAGACTTACAAATGGAAGAATAAAACTGAAAGTAATTTGATGACCAGAGAGAACAAAGAAGTCGTACAAACAATTTCTGGATGTAGAGGTCAGGTCCATTGAGGTGCACTCCCACCGACTCCACTATATTTGACAGTCGAGTTCCTCAATCAATAAGTCAATTAAATTGGGTTCGAAACATATTATGATTGCTACATTCATGTTGACTTAATGAACTGTGTTAAATAAAAGTCAAGGGAGACAGTTTCTTATTGTTCTCTTTCGTCATTCGCTCAAACGTGAAGCATGATATTCCAACAAATATGTTTATAGATGACACATGTACTCAATCTCCTTACTATACATGACTAGTTGGTCGAGCATTAAGAATGGTGAACTGTTCACTGAATCGAACCAGAGAACAAAGATCACTTCATTTCAGTTGAAAGTTTTCACAATTATCCAACTTGGAAACAACATGGTCGAAATCTCAGTATCATACACTAGTCTGTTTGTAAATATTCAATGTCACGGGAAGACATTGACGACACAACTCTCGAAGCCAAAGTATCTCAGCAATGTTGATTCTTTCTAATGTAAGACACTCATTACAGTTCATGCACAGAAACACCAACGAATAAAACAAGTAACTAAAGACAAAGCGACAACTTGATTTATCAACTTGGAATTATCAAGTAAGTGTGGTGAATAGTTGAGTAGTTAACACAAACCTACGTGAAATGTGCAATTACTTTCGAATAGATCTGTGGTGAAGCATCAAACTTCAAAAGCCAAACTGGTTAGATGTATTATGAACCACTCTATGATCAGTTGGAACAGTGAAAATATGCAGAAAATGAACTCAAGTCACAATTATGCTTATATAAATTTATAACACTATAACATATTGATCACTGGTTGATTAGTGTTAGTTAATTCATCGGTTGGTCATTGTTGGTGTGCAATGAAGAATTCTCATTTTCTACATCGGATTTCATTGTACGGTTAGTTTGTTTTCTGTAATCTCGTCTCAGTCACATGCAACAGCTCTCCTTTCCATGTCTCTCATATTTGATTGTTCAGTCACACATTTACAGTCTCAATATTGTTTTCATATTGTGATGCCTCTATTCTTCGTACTACATTTCGTCCACACATGATATTCATTATTCAGCTAAACATTCAATTTCACGATATGTTTACAAGGAATTCACATATTGATTATTCTAGCCTAAAACAGCATCAACAGCATTGTGGTCAATGTGAATTAACGCGTAGACTAAATAATGTGTTTCGTATGTGTCCACCCTCACAATCAATACCGCCAACACACTCATGCCAATTGAGTGTGTGACAAACACACGTGAATTTCATTTTGTCCTACAATGCATCATTAGATAGACTGGATTGTTTCACCGATATTTTTACTATTTATTGATCGTTTCCAATTGATTTGTATTTCTGTATGCAGTTTGTCATATTTCTGGTTGGACTTTTATTTCATGTGCTGAAATTGAACTTACAGTATACGAGAGGTCATTCTTGTCAATACTGTCCTGACGAAACAACACACAAATGTAAGTTATCTGTTCATGTGTTTCATAGAATATCAATGTGTGTTATTTCCAATAACAAACTTCACCTCGTTTCAATATGGTCGTTAGGAGGTAAAATGCACAGCTTTGTACACTACTACTACAACTACTACTACTACTACTACTACTACTACTACTACTACTACTACTACTACTACTACTACTACTACTACCACTCCAGATCCACATACTGTCTAAATCAGTGACTAAACGTTTGCGTCAATGTAATGTCCATTCATCAGTAGTTTATATGGGTAATCGAACTAGACGTTTCTGCTACATTCTAATTAGTGGAGTCTACACATACATAGATTACTAGAAAGATTTCTCGATAATTGTCAAATTGAGATTGAAAAATGATCAGTAGCTGACAGAAAACTGAGGTGTGAATCAAATATGTGTCTTCAAATTTAATGTTTCATCGCAATGTTGTTCAAGTAATAAACGCATCGGAATGCGTGGATATTCCGAAGTGATCAAAACCAATCGGACATGAGACACACACGGTAAAACAAGCATGAAAACCAGTGACCAAATAGAGATAGCAGACACAAGCGAACAGACACAATTAAACAGACACAACCGACATTCCACATCACACACCAACAAGGTTTACATGACTGTCCACTTATCACTAACAACCTAACAACACTCAACCAATAGTAATTGAGTGCATGGAATATACGGTTGGTGGCAGAAAATTCTCAACGTGTCACCTGTCTGTCTCACACTCTCATTCAAAATCTTACTTTCGTTCAGTTCACAACCACATGACAGATTGCTCGATCATGATCAATACACCTCGAAAGTCAGCTTGTGCATCAAAACTTCCTCCTCCAACATCACAAACACCAACACCACCACCACCAACAACAACAACAACAACACAGTCGAACATGACCATGGTCACACGATACACAACTGAGGAGGCGAATGAGTTAGCCAAACTGGTATTGAGATATCGGGATATTTGGAAAGACAAGAAACAGTCATCCGCACTTGTCCAGAAACATTTGTGGATGCAATTCTCACAGTATCTACACTCGAAGGGATGGCCGAGAAGGAACTGGACTCAGCTGCGTCGAAAGGGTCAGAGTTTGCTGAGGAAATTCAATGACATGACAACCAACCAGTTGGAGGTGTCGAAAAGCAATCCCAATCCCCTTGAAAATCCCTCGAACCACACGCCACTTTCCAGTTCCAATGCAAACCCACACGTGAATGGACACATTGGTTCGGTAAGTTTGCCTTACCCGATGACGTGCTAATTGTTTCCATTGAATTCAGGTGACCGAGAACCAGTCGAGTGTGCATCGACCCAACTTGCCTACACTGACCCCGTCACCAGTGGTAAGCACCACCTCCAAACGTGCCACACCATCACTCAGTTCCCCTACAAACCACGTGCAACCGAATCCCCCAAACACAAGTGGTCCAAAAATCCTCAACGCATTCTCAACAGCTCACATATCTCAACAACTGGCCATTCCACATGATGTTGCAGTGCTGCAGCCAACCACCACCAACAACAACAACATGGTTGGTGAGGTGGCGATTAACCGAGTTGCCTTACTGACTCCTCTGTCATGTATCTCGTTCGGAGTGGCGAGAGCCCATACTGCATCCGAATCTCCTGTTCGAGAAGTGAATATGTCGAAGCCACCATCGGACCAACCGAGTCGAAATCCTGTGACTGCAACAATTGATTTATCAGTGTCGAGTGATGACGAGGAGAGCTGTCAAGAGTTGAGTGGAACGAGAGATCAGGTGAACACGAATCATGTGAATGATTTGGGTGAAACGTCCGAGGATAGTGTCACGTAAGTAGGACACCTCTTTTGAACTGACACTTTTCACCTTATGTTATTCGTGTTGTCTGTTGTTTGACTGCCACCACTAGCATCACATATTGCTAACTGACCGACTGCTCCACACTGCTTGTTATGTGAACATGAGAATGTGCAATTATCTTGATGACTATAATTGTTACGGTACTACTGGGATGCGATCCACACAAGCAGTGAGTGAGCGAGCTAACCATCGAGACAGATATAAATAAAATAATTTATTTGTAATATCGGAATGAGTAGAAAATGAGATTTTCTGACATTCCGTGACTCAGTGTAGGCCACTTCTTCAGAGAAGTAATCACCAGATCAAAATTATATGTTTTATATATACATTATTTATAATTTATAACAATCTACCCAATGCTCAATTTATTCGAAGTGATCAAGTTAAACCTTGGTGATGATACCAACGAGACAGATAGATAGATAGTTAGATACATAGATAGATAGATACATAAATTAGTAGACGGGCAAATAACCAGTATAGCCAATCATATGTGCACACATCAAACACCGTTCGCTTGTGTGCAATGGTGGTCCATCTCACTGAAGTGTCTTCGTTCCAATTTCTACGTCACTGAACAGCTTGATTATTGTCGTTAATATGAGGGTGTGTGAGTGTGTGTGCATGCTTAGTGAAAATTCTTATCTACTTGTGTTTGTGAGTTGTGCATATGGTGTAGTACATTTGGTGATTATGATATATGTGACGACATTTATGTATATATAAACATGCATATAATCACATCTATCCTACATTTGACTCGTGATGATAATCAGATGTTCAAACTGTGACTGGTTTTTGTAGATCGGAATGTGAGGGAACCCCATTGTCAGAGACGTTGATTCACAAGCGAATAAAATGTCTAGATCTGAAGATTGAAATTCTGCAGATGAAGAAACAATATTGGTCGGAGAAACTGAAATTATCAACGAAAAGCTGAATGTTTGGTGAGAGGCGATCCATGCATGAACTACCATTGTGATTGTCATCAATTCTATTCATGTGAATAGTGCACATTTGTAAATTGAATTTATATCTATGTATGTATACATATTGTGACTGACCTATCTATCAATGAATGGACAAAAATTGTTCTTCATTTTCATCATTATTGTGTATTCGTGTGGTGTGTGTGTGAAGTTGTTTGTCTGTTAGTTCTTTTGTTTTGAATCGATTTGAAGTGGAGTGTTGTGCAATACTGGTTTGTTTCAAATGTTGAGTGGTTGACTACTCTGTTGCATACTGTACATAATTAAATTGAAATGTTGGTTTTGTAAAAATCCAATTTCTTTTTGTCTTTGAATTAATGACGGTGATCGACAATTGGTTATGTGGATGACGGATGATAGTTGTCTTAGAATACACATATATTAGACGTTTGTCAATTTTGTTTATTATCATGATGAATTGGTTTATATTGATAGATATTTATTCTAGTGATTTCTGTGTAATTAACTATTTGATATTTCATTGATGATGCATAACATGTTCGGTATGTTCGGTAATCGACATATGTGTATAATTGATGTCAACTTGAAATTGTTGATGATCGGAAGTGAAGGAGATTGTTGAGAATGAATGTTCTCATTGGGATGGTGAAGAGGTTAATAATAACACTAATAATAATAATCATTGTTTTTGAATATGTTTGTTCTGTTTCCTGTTAACTCATTTGTAAATAGAATTGTTCAGACTGAAATTGTGTAAACTTTCATTGCCTGTTCTGACAATTTTAAGTATGTAGTAGAGAACGGTTGAAGAATTATGAGGATTATGTAGATTACAATATAATAGAATAATTGACTGATGATTGTGTTTTATTTCGTGTACAACGTGTGTGTGGAGATTTGTACAGTTGCCTGTGTTACTTTGTACAATATGAGATAATGAACGGCTTGTTAGAATTGTCTTTGAATATGTGAACAATTGGACGATATTTTCTCGTTCGAGTCGACAATTTTGTTACTATCGTCAAGTAATCAATCAGTTGAATTGAGGTGCACATGTCGAATGTTTGCTGCTAGTGATTGAATGTTTAGGAGTCGTCACGTCTTTACTATATAAACTAGTTCTTAGTCATATTGGTTTGAGTGTATATCGTCATTGTGTGTTGTTCATACTTTTGTGTTGTAAAATGTGTAATAGTGCGGTAAAATAGTGGGAGTGTGGTGCGTGTGTCGGTAGTTTACATGAATATGTGAATATTTGATTGAAATGCAATTGAGAGTGGAAATTAAGACATTCAACGGATGAGTCATTAAAGATTAGTCAATCGTTGATTTAACAAAGTGTTAATCGATGGTGGGATTATTTATGAATGAGAAATAATGATGATGAAACTGGTTGGTGTTCGACAGTTGTGGATCAACTGTGATAGATGTTTAACGAATGAATTTACAGCAAATAAGATGGATAACTAATTAGAGTAATTTCTCATGAATCCATCAAACCCATTTCTGTAAGCTTTAGTCTATTTATGTATTACCAGCACAGATTGTTTGTTAGTACTCTGACAAATTGACTCTTTCAACACATGATCATGCGTTTCATCTATAGGTTGTAGTAAGAGACCATACAAACTTTAAGCGTTAGTTGGGTTGTCATCTGTTTAGAGACAACAGTTGTTTGGATGTGTTCAGAAGGAGATAGTTGATGACTGTTAGGTGTAGTTAACCAATGTCCAACAGAAATTCTCCACCACTATTGAACAATCGAATTCAAATCTTGTTTAATTACTGAACTTGATAATTTTATATGTGACCTGTCGAACATCATTTGATCGGTCGTCTATACCGATGTGACACTTGTTTCTCTCAATATTTCCTTGAGTTGTTTAATCATTTGTTTATTCTGTCTGCCACATGTAGTTAGTTGAAACATTTTGGATAATATTTAGTAAACCGTGTCCTGGAGTAATATATGTTTGATATAAATTATCATATCTTTCTGAGTGAATAGTTTGGTGAGAGGATTCTCGATTGTCAAATTGAATTTGGTAAACTTTTGTGTGAGTAGATTTGTCGTAGAAAGTGTCTTGCGGTTAATTCATTTGTAACTGTTAGAAATTTGTGGACTGATCGAAAATGTATTTTCGTTTTTGATTATGGTTTCAATACGGTATACACATGTGATACTCTACAGAAGGAGAACATTTGTTTGTAATTCTATTCAGATGAACATTTTGGTCAGTAGAAGTTTGATATTTACTTATTGTGATAATTTTGCAAATTATGCACGGGTATTTCTCGATTGGTTTGGATTTGCAATAATTTCAGTAAAATATCTTATCTTGTGTTACACATTGATGTGCTTATATGGTCAAGGTAATGGCGATGCTATCGTATATACTTATCATACAACTCTTATATGTAGTACGTGACTTGTTAAGCACTTCGATGAACTACTACGAAACTTCAACATCCGATCTATGTGTGGAATCGTCCGATTGTTACATGATTCGAGTGATGTCTCATCCTGAAGTCTCATTATTCGATTTGCAAGTTATGAACATGGTAGTTACACTTTGGTCAATTGTTTCTAATGTGTTGTTTTCAAACATAGTTTACAGTGATATTAATATTATATTCTGTTCCTCAGTCTTCCCCTCATCAATCATGTGTTTCTATCTATCATAAAAATTTCAACAAATTTCCTGTGTCACTACTACACATTTCCATTCCATCCTCCACACTGGTGTAAGACAATTTTAAACGCAATCAATCAATGATCCCTGTGAGAGTTCGTGTATTGCTTCATCTAGGAGTTTAGTTGGGAATGTGTGTGTGTTTTGACAGAATCAATGAGATGTGATGTGGAGATTTATTGAAGATGGTCAGATGAAAAACAAATAATTATATTCAGTCAGTTCACACACACAAACATCGGCTTATTTATTTGTCTATTTTCTAGAATCACTGGTTACACCAACAGAAGCATGGTTTATTTGATAATCAATGATGATGTAAATAAATGAAGAGGAACGGTAGGAGATGATGACCGTGTTAAGCACCCTGAAATTCCTAATTGATCAAAGTGAAGCGGATCATATGGAGTTGCAGTATTTAATGTCATGGATTCTCTTCTCGAAGGAAAGCATCCGAAATTGTAATGAATCACTTTTCGTACTAAAAATGAACGAACAAACAAAGTAACGTAATCTGACTGGAAATGACAAAATAGACATTGAACTGAACACAAACACCATATATTGTAATCAGACGAGTAGGTCAGACATAAACACTACGAAAATTGATGCAATTGATTTCAGTGTATGAGAATGACTAACAGTACATAGAGTTTTTGTTCAAAGTGAGATTATCACTGATTGTTTGAAATAATAATAAACGTTTTGGGAAATAACTTTGAATGTGTACTGTTTATTCATTGATGTGTCAACGAATTTGCGAACCTATTGTCCATATATAAAAGTGAATTTCTAATAATCGGATGACTCAGATTAATTTTCACTCCGTGCAGTTTGGTTAAGCAACAGATGAAACAACATTCGTGGTGTTTTCTAATCTTAACTTCTTTCCTGTTTGTTTCAAATTACAGTGTATACCAATTCAACTGGATGGTTTCGTCGAATGAGATTGATAAGAATAATCTTACTTTGCAAAACTAATTTAACCCTTGAAATGTTTCACCTCTGTTCTCTCCATCTTTCCCCCTTCAGATCGCAGTGAAACGAAATGCCAAAAATTTTGTTGATATAAGTTCGGAGAGCACTGGATAGTTGTTTCGTTGTGACATGATGCTCATCGTGAGGGAGCACCCATAACTCATGACAGTAAACATTCGGTATCGAATGCTTACAAAACTATGTATTTTGAGGAATGATTTTCCACTACAATAGAATATGTTTTGTGACACAAAGGTAAATTTACTAAAACCAATTATAACATTAAATGAATACATTAGATGACAAGTTAATTTTTAAATTAAGCCAACAGGTCATAACACGTTTTCATTTTTCATTTTACAATTAATGTTCAAGAAAGATTGAACTGGGAAAACAAATACTCTTTTACACTGTGAATTATAGTCAGTTGGAGAAGCATGTTTTATTCATTTGGTTAGTTTCACTGTCTACTTGTAAGAAAGATTCATTTCTACATATCGATTGACGAAAATAATAGACAGTTGAGTAAATGTGCAAAGACACATTATCTCTGATACGGTTTATAAGATAAATCAATGAAGTTTTGTGCCTCCATCGCACTCACACTTAGTAACAACAACAATGATAATAATAATAATAATAATAATAATAATAATAATAATAATAAGGAAAAGAAATTTTGTTTGACAGGAAACAGTGATGAGAAAACAAGTTCAGCAAAAATGTACAAATGTGGAGAAAAGCGCAAGGTTACATTACATAGTATATACAATTTTGAATGTATCGGAAAGTGATGCGAGAATAGAAATTGAATTTCACAAGCATGTCATATATACTTTGAGTGTATTTGATATGTGGCTGGTAGTGGAATTCAGAATGACTGTTTACACTCAATCCAGGATTTGTCATCTGGATGAATCTGAATCCAAGTATGTTGATGTTCGCAGTGAGACTTGAACCTGGTAACATTCGTTCCGAACACGTAATGTGCTATCGACTGATCCATTGAGTTTGAATACTCACTAACTTGTTCAAAGTGTATGAGGGTACTAGACAGTGTTTGTGATTCCGTGTAGTTGGTTTGTATAGCCGTTGAATAAATTGTTGAATCTGTGTATTCAGTGACCCAATGAACAATTGGTTAGACTTTTGAAACGATGGATATTGAGTGTGAATCTCATGGGGATTCTCAACAGTGGAGTGGAGTTAAATCCAGGTAATAATTACCACAAAGAACGGAATGGGTGTCCTTCATTCCAGTGTCAACCACACAATCAATATGGTATAACATGTTACCGAGTGTTATTTGTAGGCAATCCGCTTGTGATCCACAAATGACAACAGACACTGATTGGTTGCAGTCCTAAATATGAATATCATGAAATTGACAACCCTCATTCACATCGTATTCACTCTGTCAATGGGATGCATAATTAGACGAAATTAATAGTAACATTGGTAATAACAATAACAATAATAATAATAATAATAATAATAATAATAATAACTTCACTCAATGTTTGATGATTTGTATAATTGTGAAATCAAACTCTCAGTTCATGAACAATCGAGTCGAGATTCCTGAATTGATGTCTGACCACCATTGTGATGCATGTTTGGACGTAGTAGTAGCTGGAGATCGTTCTTGTTTTCCTATGAGTGATCTGATGCTAGGACTATGTATTTCATGAATTGAGATCTGATGAACTTTCATTTTTCGAATGCCTATTTCCCAGTCACTGTGATTACTGTGATTTAACTTTACCGTATTTTGCAGTTGATATGTTGGGATATTTGTAGATGGACACGTGTAGAAATGGTACACTCACTCTTTGCCATACTTGTGTTTATCATCCAGCATGTTGTGGTGCGCTACACTGAACCCATTCATAACAGAAAGTTGACATGAACTCCAATCTAACCATTTCTCAACTTTGTGCAATTTATCATTTATTCATTACACTTGTCCATTGATCTTAGTTGACACCAGATTGTGTTATGTATTTATAGAAACGGATTACGGTATTGATGTTTCTTGTTGGTCTACTGTACATGCAAATCGAATAACGATAGAGTAATTCCAATACGAACAGTTCTATTGTGGATACGTTAATGGCAATTGAGACAAAACACTTCAATAATTAGCCACTAGTATAGAGAGAAAACGAAGTGTGGAACAAACCTGGAATCCGAACAAGATAACTTGAAAAATTATGACTCAGTATATACTGTGAAGAAAGCTCAACTTTGAATTGTACTGAAAATTAGTAAATAGTAAGAGCAT